TAGAGTCAGGCTCCTGAAAGCAGACTGTGCTTCCAGGACACAACCACCTTAGGCATACCATAAGGATTAAATGAACTCAGTGTAACTTTGCCTAGATTCACTGGGTGAAAAGAGATTCAAATTCTACTGAAAATCAAGGCTGAAAGAAAGAAAACAAAACAGTCATCAGGATTATTGTCTCTAAATTTCCACTGCAATCTACCCCTATGACTTACCAAAAAAGCTGAAGTATGAATATTTCCTTTTCCCAGTATGCGAGTACTGGGCAGAGCAAACAGCACAAAGGCAGGAGTCTGACGAACACAGCAAAAGCAAGTGCAGTGTCCTGAGAACTGGAATGGAAAGGACTGCTTGGAAGAATGATCCCTCAGTCATGGCCAACTGTACCCATGTAACAAAAGCAAATCACGTTCAGTGCCCTATTCTGCTATATCCTGCTAGTTTAAGGTTGTTAGCTTCATGGCAACCCTTGTGAAATTCCTTTTTGCTGTTACACAGAATGTTCTTTTATGTGCCCAAGAAGAAGAAACTAGGGAAAGAGCCCCTTTCAGCCCGGGGCTGGTATGAACTGCTTCCTCCACATTAGTGAAATCACTGATTCAGATGACCGAGGAGCTAATCTCCAAAGTAATGACACAGCTAGCAAGCAAGGAAAGAAACAGAACAAAGCACAGACACCCAAACAAACCCCCCCCCCCAACCAAATTAGGGAGTCATCCTGCTCCTGCAGGCTCCCTGGGGCTTAGCTCTGGGAGGAAGCTCTGCAGCCATGAATTGCTAGCTTGGTAGGAAGAGAATCAGCATCAAATCCTGGCCCTAATCCTTTTCCCCCCATTCTATTGCCCAAAGCAGTACAGACTAAGATTTATTTCCTGCAGGAGATTTATTCGTTACAAGACTCTACTAAGCCACTTAAACCCAAATGTCCTCATCACATAATGCAAGTGCCAATTCTACTGCTTAAGGAACATCCCGGCTACATGAGGCAGACTTTGATTTGACTGTGGATCTTAAAAATTACTGGCCACAGACAGTGCTTTCGCCTGGCATCTAGGTGGAACCATCATTTAAATTAGTAATAACAGTTTTGATTTCCATAAAGATCCATCTGCTTAGCTTATAAAGTACACATACTTAAATGCACACACAAATAATGCATGTTTAAAGAACCTCTGTGCTTGCACCAACGGTAACAAGTGCCTTTTACATTAAGTTGACATGGTAACAGTCACTCATTGGCTTGTTTCTTATTGTGTAAGGCAGCCCATGATGAAGTCAGTGCATCTGACTTCATGGGAAAGTGCAGTGGTGTCAAACCAGTACCACAGAAAATGTGTTCTGCATTTGAAGACATAGACTCATAGAACGGTCAGGGTTGGAAAGGACCTTAAGATCATGGGGTTCCAACCCTCTTCTAATTATACAGTGTTTTATGGCAGGGGGGCTGGAACTAGATGATCTTAAGGTCCTTTCCAACCCTAACTATTCTATGATTCTATGAAAGTTCTGCATATACCAAGTGCCAAAAGGTTTCAGCTCCCAGTGCGATGCCCTCTCCCATCACTTCTGCTTTCCAACAGACAGCACACACTTTTGCATTAAAACAACCAACCACCTTTTCCTTTCTTTTTTCCTCACTGCTAGTGCAATGGAAAGAAAAACACTTTTAAGCATATTTCCTTTCATTGCTGAGGCCTTGTAAGTATGAACAATAGCTTTACAGGGAACTAAACAAAAAAACCCTAAAGAGATTCCTTAAGTACATATTTCAAGTAGACAAAGGAAGGGCTTTACAGTCCTAATTTGGAAGTGATGAGTGTCTTGGACCTCCTCCTTTTTAACTGAGACTCCTTATAAACCCAGTCAAAGAGATGCCCATTTCCTCAGTTACCCTAGCAAAGGACTGCTTCCAGAGATTACCCCCTCCTTGGTATCAGTACAACTCTCCCAGAAGGGCTAGAAAATAGAACTCACCTTGCCAAACAAATAAATCCAGCCACCATGGAAGGACTTCATTTTTGCTACTTGGAATCTGCACAGATCACTTTAAGGGAGAGAGAGGGTACAAACAAGATAATCCACTGGGATCTACACACCTGGAAAACAGTTAGGGTATTACCAAGCAGCATGGATCCATATAAATCCTGCCTTCCCCGAGGCAGATGGGGGAATTAGTACACGAAAACAGTTGCCTTGATCAAACCTGTGAAGTAGCCACCATTACTTCTGTTCAGAAGCCCTTTGATTGTCCTCCTGTGCAAAAAAAAACCCCATCCAACGTACTTTGGGAAATTACTTCAGGTGTTAGTAAGGAAGAGGATTCAGATTATGTCCCGTATTCACATGGAGGCCACCAGTTCTAAAACACAGATTCTGACACTAAGATCAACCTGCAAAGTTTAGATGCGTCAATGCAGCGGAGACTAACTTCTAGTATTGTTTTGTGGAATACGAGTCCTTTTGCCCAGATACCAGTTCAATTCCAGGAAGTTTTCTAGTGTTCCAATGCAATAACTAATACCTCCTGTCTCTCCCTCCTTGACTTGCGAGCCTTCTTTCTTTCCTCATCCACATTTAATCTAATGTGTCCTTCTACTGCAGACTGAACAGCTCACCATCTTTTAGTCTCTTGGTCATTCAATAGCCTACTGAAAACAGGATGACAAGTGTCCACGCAGGAATTCAGTCTCCTGCAAAGAGGGCCAAGAGTCACAAAATCCATACACAAAGCCGATTTAATGCAAACCAAGTAGCACTATGTTTCAGTCTAAGGTGCTCCACGTCCTCAAACACTCAACCCCGAGCTTCCCAGTTTTACCATTCCGTTGAGAAAGCCACTTTCAGTCTCAACAACAGAATTAAACAAGACAGCTCTTTAATGCTTCTCGTTTTTATTGACTCAATACTGTATTTCAATATCAACTGTTACATCTTTCTGAGCAACAGGAGCATACTCTGCAAATTTGTGTGTCAGTATATAGTACAACCTCAAAACTCTTATCCAAACCCCATGTATTCCAAAATTAGGTTTCCTCCCTCAAACATGCAACATTTGAATAAAAAAGTCCTGACTTACTCCCAAAAAAATTCCACTGTGCAGTTATATAAACTCAGATCTCTTGACACCCACTCTGGCTCATGAAGACACCGGTTTATATAAAGGACCTTCAAAAGAGAATGAAAAAGGAATGTTATTTTGCTGGCATTTCCAGAGGGTTCTAACACTCCCGTCTCCATAGCAGTACACACACATAAAAACACCACGTCCCATAGAGCGTACTATGCAATACAGTATTTCTTAAAGACTCTAACTGGTCTCTGCAAAAGGCTGTGGCACGTTATGCTGTGACTACATCAGAAACTACCACGCAGCCATTCTCTTTCATTTAAGCCTTCAGAATTAGGAAAGTACCTGTGTTGAAATTACAGATCTAACTTTAATAAAAAGTGCACATTCTGTAAGGGCAGATCCCGTTTCACCATTTCTACTGCTTGGTTGTTCTTCATTTCAGCTTCAACACCCAGTTCTCATACCAAACCGCAAGGTTTGGACCGCAGAAATGAAGGCTACGCTTGCCCTTAATCAAAACGCTGGTTTACAGGATGCTGTTTTCATAGTGCCGACACATTTCACGCAGTCAGTCTCAAGTATTTCAAAACTCGTGTTTTCTCCATCACTTCCATCACTCAATCGGGCCTTTAAAAATAATCTGAAAACAATATACAAAATATTTCAAGACAGCAGGATAGCGATACAGTTGAAACCAGCAATATGGACATACAAGCATAACCTTTCCATTTTATATATGAGACCTCCTGACACAAAAAGATCGTGCGTTTTGCATGGGATTTTGGCCTCACGTTTGTAAAAGGAGAGGCAGGCTTTTGGACAGATTTCTATTTAGCTAACAGGAAAATAAATCATATTGCAAATACAGGGCTGATGCTGCCTAGATTCTCTTCCTCACATCCATGGTAAGTACCAAACTTCTTGTCCTTGTTTCTGAGGTTTATGTTTATACTCAGCGTCGCTGCTGATGACTGATGCATGTTAGCTGGTTTTAAAATAACTACCTTGGGAAGCTTGATAAAAACAGTGCTAGGCTCTGACTTGCTGTGGAGATGCTGTTAAGGTTTACACAGCAATGTGTCATCTTTGCTCACAGCCAGCTTCAACAGACAGAATGGAACCGCACGATACCGCGGTGAGGACTGTCACAACGTCTACAACAATGTAGACCTTTGTAAGCCCAGACCCAGCAGGAACGCGTCTTCAGCTGATCTTCCACCATACTTCCAGTTGAAATTCACAAGTAAATCCTGTATCCATCTCTGGAGAGCATCTTGCAGGACAGGTCAGACGGAGAGCGAGCAGGTAAAGACAGAGGTGCAGTACATGGCGTAGAGTTTCTCTGTACGCTGGGTGCATTTTAGGGTGTAGCTGCATGCGAAACAGTTTGAAGACACAGCAGAAGTTGTTCCAGCAGTCTCCTTGTGCCTTATCCACCCCAAGGGTCAGCTATTGCACCCTTTGAAAGGACTCTGCCAGGCACAGACACAGCATTATTTCCAGTGTATCCGAATGAAGCACCTCAGCTTGAAGCTACAAAGAAGGATTCTACCTTACCTTGGCTACTTGATGCGAAAGATAATGGTATCAGGCAGCTGGCTGCACAAGCGGCAGCGTTGTTACCGAGCTCTCTCCTCGGAGAGGAAAAGAAAAATCAACTTCACATCAGACTATTACAGACGCTAATACCTTTGTCAAAAGCAGAAACACACAGAGATTTTACAGCATACTGGCTAGACACCACAGCACACTGACTGAAAGGAAGAATTTGAGTACGAGCTTAATAAGGCAGGGTAAAAAATCCACCACCTTACAACGAATGACACTCTGAAAATGAGTCTGCTGTGTGTGATTTCACTGATGCCTGAGGGAGACAAAGATCTTTCTGTTCGTGTTTTTCGTACTTTCAGCCAAACAGACTGCTGAATAATCATGTTTTCTGTATTTTAATGGGCGAGGAAGCTATTATACAGAAGGGGTTTCCATATGTCATAGCTGATAAAGGCAATTCTTACTAATAAGGTTGTCTCCACTCGGTTACTTGATGAAAAGCAAATGTGGTAAGGAAAAAGCAGATCCTGTGGAGAGAAGAGACGCCTAGGGCTGCACACTTCAGTGGCTACTGGGAAGAACCGTGAGCAGATGAATCCAAGGTCTTCTCCAATTGAGTCCAAATCTGTAACATTCACTAGGGTGCTCAGCGTACTAGGGGCACTCCATGTCATAATTGCTCCTTTGTATTCACCCTCTTCTTGCTGCTGAAAGACAGCGGACAAGACCTGGATCCATCACTCCAGAAAAAAACATCAGCGAGTCCCTTCAGGAGGTCAAGGTGCTTTCTCCCTTGAAGAAGCATCTGGGTTACTGTCTCAAAGCTCAAAATCCTACAGAGAGTATGGCTTGGTTTAGGCTGAGACCACAGATGCTCTTCCAAGTGGAAACCATAAATCGCACGGCAAGGGGGAGGTGGAAAAACTGTGGGGGAATTACCCCCAGGTCTGGGACACCACTGACATCTTTGTCTTTCTAACCACAGAGCCAAGTGAACATCCACAACTGGATGAAATCCTCACATCCGTTCTATCTGTTAGGGCTACCTAGTAAAGAGAGAGAGAGGGGAAAAAATAAAGTCTTGAAGCTCATCTCAGCTTACTATGACACGTTCAGTGTTTGACTACCTCTTAAGAAGCCATATGGAAACCAAGCCTACTGAAGAACACAACTTGCCTCAGATCATCAGCACATCCCAACCAGGCTTACACAGCAGTGCTACACGCTGGTTGCCTCTGAATGTCAAAGTAGGGCAGAGATTGTTCACCTGTAAGTACCTGAGTAGAAAAAAGACCTGCCTCTGTTGCCATTCCCACTTTCAGGAGGGCTGACAGCTTCCTACAAGCAGTTTCAAAAGGCACATCATCTCTCCATGCTAAGCATCCACCTGCAGCCTTACAAGTATGAATTTCAAAGCATTGTGCAAGACATCTTCTACGCAGGCATATAGAAAAGGTACAAATTACGTTGTGGAGAGACATTTCTAATAGGCAACACTCTATTTCTTCACGTTTTCCTGGGAATTACGTTCTGCTGGTTTTCACTATTCAGAACAGGCTTCAAGAAATGCAAAAAGATGCAAGAAACAGGTGGATGCTTGCAAGTATACAGACAATAGGACCAGTTCCTACACATGCAACTAGTCCAGCTGGATGTTCACTGCCACATGCAATACTTTCCAGGAGCCAAACCAAAGCATTTTGAAATCTGGCCACTAATTACGGGCACTTCCTGATCCAATCTAAATTTCACAACTGCTGGACAACTCCTTGTCCTCGTTTCAGGGTCTGGATGAACTCAGCAGTTCAGAAAATCAAATCCAAAGCGACTCGAGCCAATACTGAGAAATACGAACACCCAAAGTCTGCAGCTGGTTTTGAAAACACAGACCCCTCAAGGCTAAATGCTGCTTTAAAGACACCGCAATAGTTTCAAAAGCTGCATATTCTTGTATCAAACCACTAGAAGACGTAGACAAATGTGGCGGGTGGACTCTCCATCCATGCTCCTTCAGTGCGGTCAGTGCAAACAGCCCCTCCGTGACCAGCCAGTGCTGATGACTGGGAATGGAGGGCACAGCAGGACAATCCAGGATAGGCCTGCACAGTGAACCAGAAGTAGCCCTTGCAGAGACAAGGGAAAACAAGGGCTGCTGTTGGATCCTGCCCAGAACACAGAACCCCACCACAATCTGTCCGTACAGTCCTGAAGGTGTGGAAGGTCCTGTTGTATCTGCCTTCGCAATTAAGCATGATTCTGACATGATTATGGTGCTGATGCTGTTGTCTCTTCAGTGCATGATGGCTCCTGGCTCTGTGCGTGCCTGCCTACTGTTCATGAGAGTCTTTGTCTTTGCAATAATCGGAGAACAAGGTGCTCTGGAAGCTCTTTTCAGCTGTGACCTGGTGAACCTCTTACGGATTTTTCTGTAAGGAGGGAAGGAGGGAAAGAAGAGAGAAACAACAGAAGAGATAAATCTCAGTCTTTAACAGAAGACTGCTCAAGAGCCAGTAACAAACATAACAAATACTCTTACCAGAGCAGGAAGGCTAGCTCATGGCAAAGAGACTCGCAGCCAACAAGAGCGAGCCCTGTCCATCAACTGATGGCTCACAGTTGTCTCCAACTAGTAACTGATAATCGATCAGTGAAAGGTGAGTTGGTGCTAGGCCATATTTGGACAATAACATTAAATTATATGAAAGCGTGGGCCAGAATGCTCAAATGGTGAACCCTCACATGCAGCATCAATACAGGAATGAAGGACCACAGAAGAAAGAGCCCCATCAGCACTCAAGTGGCTGTCACCTCTGTAAAGAGATGGACTGGGAACAATTGTTATTCACACTCTTATCAATTCTGCAGTTTATGCATGACTTGAATCTCTGGGCTTTTTGTGCTACTGCCTTTCAGGCACAGTGAATTCACTTTCATTTTAGACTTTCAGAGGGTAAATGGAACGTTAACTGCAAGCAGCCACGTTGTTTGTATCGTACCCTTATGCATCCAAGGATAATTAATCCTGAATTTAAAAGCTTTGTTATGTTCTAACTGCTCTGTTTCTCTACTACTATAAATCAGTAATCACAACCCAGGGCAGGGTATCAGAAAACACCGAAATGACACACAGAGACTATGTCAAGAACCATCTTCCTTGGCAGTCTCCTGAACATTAGATGTCACTGGAAAACGGCCTATTTTCTGAATTCACTCAAGTCACGAATCCCAGCTTTCATTTTGGTAGTTTGAGAAATTACAGAGATTTTGAGCTTATCGGAAGTGAATTAAAGCAAACCAGGTCCTCTGACATTAAATGAGACCAGGCTTTCCAATTCGGACTTTCCAAGATGAAAACATGACCTGACATACAAACTGCAGGGTGACTATGTGCCTACCTGCATCTCCCTCTCATCTTAGTGGGCTGCTAACTCTGAAACTGAAGAATGGTGGCACGTGGCGTTGAAAACATAGGATGAGCTCAAAATAAATTCTCTTGACTATTAAAGTAACATGCAGATTAAATTTCAAACGCCTATTTTGTTACTGGTTGAATATTGCCCAGGAATGTAAGCTTCCAGTTAAACAACAGGGCCACAGAAGAGAACATAAGCAAAGACAAAACAAGAAGTCAAACCCCAGGAGGATAAACTGCCTCAGAGGTAAAAGGGAGCCTAAAATTACATGTATTTTGGTTAACAGACTCAAAAGATGTAGAGAAATACTAATTCCAGCGGGCTGAAAGAAGGATGTCATTGGCGTCTCATGGCCTGGGGTACCAAACGATGATTTAGCATCATTCAGTAAAAAGCACAAATGAAAGGAATCCCCAGAAAGTTAAGTTCAAGCTTTCCATACAACCCCACAGAGACCCACATTTACTGTTTGGGTACTTACTTTACAAGGTTAAACTAGGAATAAGAAGATATTAAACTGATTGACAAGATATTGCATACCCTCTAGAATGGCAAGATCACAGAAATGGAACCTAAGGCTGGTAAAACGTGTATTTCTAAAGCAATGACACAGCTAGGCTTTATACATTCACAGGAACAGACAGCAGCCATTACCCACACTGATTTCTAATGACAATCACTCCAGCAAAAGCTTACAGAACTGGATCCCTTTCGATGTTTTCCATTGCAAAACTTGGTATTTGTTTCCAGAACAGATGTGGTCATCGCTCACTTGAGAAGCCCGGGGTCTACAGAACCATCAGATAGCTGTTTGCCCTCCTGAATTTTTACTATCGCAGTTTCATAAACTGCCAAGAGGTTACTACTAATGAAAGCAGCTTGCAGCTGCCCCCAGGTGTAAGGACAGTGAAGCCTTTGTGATGAAAAGCCATGTTTATGTTGTACAGACAGTAAAGCCAAAAGATGTAGTTATTCTCCAGAAACACTGCTTCAAAACCAGCATGAAGAAAGGCAGAACAAAAAAGGGGGAGTCACCATTATTCCATAAAGCAAACCTCAAAACGTTAACTCCTCACTTAGTATAAGTGAAAGCAGCTCTGTATGGACTGTATGAAGAACTGATCTGCTCTGCACTCTAAAAAGACAATCCAGCACTCCTATTTAAACAGGATTGTGAAAATGCTCCAGAAATTCACTTCCTGGGATAGAGCCTCTCAGAACTACCGGAAGAATGGAAATTTCCACTGACTTCATTAAATGCAATATTTAAACAACCATTTCACTAAGAGCCAAAACTGTTCTTTTGACTGCAAAAACCATACAGAAGGTGGAGGGAACCGACCCTTTACCCTGCAAAACTTAGCAACTAAATACAGTCAAGCTGTATTTAGCTGGGAGGAACCAATCAGGTCTTACAATGCTTCCCCCACGCCACAGTGAATTAAGGGCAGAGTCACCTTTAATGTTGAATTTCCTGTCCCTTTTTCGGTTAATACCAGCCATATGTCTTAATTGCAGCACGCCTTTATTTGGTGGCAAGTAAAGGGCTTTAATATCTGTCGCGTTAGCAACATCCTTTGCAGTTAATCGGAAAGAGCAACTGCCATTTCTCCCTGCTGCTTCTTTGACTTTTGTACTAGGGCTGGAAGTCTGATGCTTACAGACTTCCCCTGAAATGTGAATTAAGAAGTATTTTAAAGCCTTTTCGTTGTATTCCTAGCTCTCCTGAGAGCCAAGGTATGAGGATGAATCAAACTTCTAGGAGGCGATCGGTACATAAAGCCCACGGTGCTCATTTTTATGTCAAATGTGATGCACTGCTGCTAAGGTAGGAATAAGACAAATTCTTTATGCCTGCATGATACTCCAAACAGTAACTGTGGATACAGGTATGCAAGGCCACAAGCACCTATTCAGGGAAGTATGCAAATGTACAGAAGCACTACACACTATTAAGACCTATCTTTTCTTCGCAAGTTTCCTAGGCACACAGGAACCTACTGGGTAGAACTGACAGGTAGGTTGTGCAGGGCACAACCCTTTCCTAGGATCCAAGAGGCTTCCATGTGGTGAAGTTAGGCACAATCCTATCTAATCAGTTAAGTCCAGAGTTCTCAGGAACAGGACAGCTGGTAACAGCTCCTCACTTGTAAAGCGGGCTCAAAGTTCCCACACCAAACATTGAAACAACAGTGATTTTTAAGCTTGAATAAAATAAAGACAGGCGACCTTCAGTCGATGTGAGTCAAGAATGCGTTTTTCAAGCCCTTTCTAATGGGAGGTAAAGGAATTACTTGCTTTAGCTCTCCTGATACCAGGCATATCTGTCTGTTACTGCTTCTATATATAAACTGTTGTGCATCAGTCTTGCCTCCTCTGCATTAGGCTCAGAGTTGTGATGCCTACCGCGACTTTGGTCTATTCAGCTACACCGACAGTACTTCAGAAGTAATACAAAACAACTTCAAGTTATGGCAGAAGGTTTTACTGTGGGAAAAATTAAGCACATGCAAAGGCCCACTGGCATTTTAGCAGACACCAAACCTTGTTCTGAAAGAAACAATCCAGTGAGTTGAGTTACAGGAGGAGCACTACCTTAGGAGGCTGATGGGATCCGATCCATTTCAGTGGGCTTTTAAGCAAAGCGAAAGGCCAAAATGTGCAACGCTGCCTGCTGAGACAGAACTGCAGGCGCACATCCCTAAGAACCTGACAGGTTACAGACAGACTGGTTGACTCGCAGCACCTCCTACATTTCTACCTGTGTGCAAAGGAGAAGCGCATCCACATCCCACTGAAGTTTCCATCTAACCCCAAAATGACAGGCACTGGGAGAAACAGATCTGAAAGGCAGAAGAGGGTTGACAGTGATATACCTTCTAAAAATAAGCACCTTGGTGAAATATTCACTTCTAATACGAATCAGAAGTGGTTTAATAAGCACTGGGTACCAGAAAGCCGCTGCCATGGGCTGCCTGGCTGTATTATAAAACTCATACAGATGTCAGGCAGAGCAGTACAAGCTCAAAGAGGTGCTGCTGAAGACATGCCAACAGATCTTAAATGTTTTAAGAGCTTCTCTTATTCTTTGTTCCTAGCAAGGGAATATTTTCCTTTGCTGGTGTTTATCTTCCGATTCGGCATTGATATTTAGGGAGCAAAACTGTTCTCTATGAACAACAATTTACAGACACACCAGTTACAAATGACTCTGTCAGACCTTCCTGAACAGCTTAATATAGCGTTTTCAGGCACTGCACCACCTTGAGGGCACCTCTGATGTTTTTGTGTTTCAGAGCAACAGGTTACAGCTACCGTGTACATATATGAAGCAATAAATAATGCCTTTGGAGTGTTTTCTTTCCTGAGAGGACAAACCCACACCAAGTGTTCAAAGCACAGACTTCAGTGACTGTGCCACGCCTGACCTCTTGCATGGCACAGGTCTCTTTCTGCCTAGTGCTGACTTTAAATGTGCTCGGAGCAGAAACCATCTCTTTGTGTGCATTTTTAGGAGCCCAGAACAACAGGAACCTGACCCATTATTGAGATTATTTCACCCGGTTTTGCTGCAAACAACTGGCACGGCTTTTAGGAAAAAACATCACTTCATTCCACAGGTTTTTCCATGCTCTCATTCCCCCCAGAATGGCACATTACATCAATATTTTAAGGTGGCTTTGGATGCAAGGAGAGAAGGAGTTAAAGAAGCGCAGCGTCTCATTCTCAGCACTACTACTCATCTTTCAGTTGAATGCTGAAAAACTTTTAACCCCTGAGAAACATTATAAATAGATGCTGTCGTACAGCAGTCATCACATGATGGCTAAATGTAAATCTTAGCAATCAGCAGCGAAATTATCCTCCTAGCTCCTCTGTGAGCTTGGTATTTACCACCAAGAGACAAAAGCTACACACTGCGGATGGCAGGGACAAACGTGGTGCAACACGAGCTTGGCGTTGGACTCAGTGATCCTTATGGATCCCTTCCAACTGGAGATACTCTGTGATTC